GCTATCGTCGCTCCCGTGCTAGCAGCGTGATCGCCGGCGAGACAAAGCCAGCCTCGGCGAACGGGCCTACGGAGCGCGAGGGAGAGAGAGAACACGCAAGAGAGAGACGGAGCCCCGTTCCGTGGATCAACAACAAGGATCCGCAGAAGGATTCCCGGATGGGGAGAGGCAACGAGGAACGGGGAGAGACGTGTCGCGAGACACAACAATGAGGAAAGAAGCGACACTTTTTCTTAGGAGAGAATAAAAGAGAAAACTCCCGTTTTCTCGCTCTCTTACCTCTTGGCAAGCCAGTTCGCTGTCGAAGACTAAGAATCTATCGAATATCACTGGAGAAATTATTATCGGTGTACCGCTATCGAGACCGACGTTTGTGCCGCGCTCACGAAGGGTTGCCGTTGGTAGCTGAACCGCGGAGGAGCTAGCAGAGGAAGTAGGTCGAAGGACCACGCCGCCGGGAGGTTCCCGAATTTGTAAAACCGTCCACCTGATTTATTATTTCGTGCGTCCCGTGTCTCGACTCATTTGTCGGCGTAGAGCCAGGCTCGAATTCGCGAGGGCACACAGCGGAGTTTACCGTATCGAGGGGTCGGACCGTTCCGATTCCCGAAAGAATAAAAAGTGAGATAATCAAAACGCGCATTACTATTCTTGTGTTTTCCCGACTGCGTCCCGGATTCCCGATCGAACCCTCCCGTCTACCGACTTAAAATACCGAGGAGCTACCGGTCCCGTCGAATTCGCGTGTCTCGGCCCTTTGGTGGTGTTCCGTTTCGTGTTGGTGATCAGTGCAGCCCGCTGCACCTGGCGCCCAACCATTTTTGGTGCGAGTGTGAACGGCCGAGACGCGTAGACCGACGGCAGTTTGCCGACGGCGAGCGGAAATCGCGTCGCAAAGCATACTAGCCAACGTTCTTAGAAAAACAGTCGATACATTCGAAAAACGGTTGCCATTATATATCCAACAGATGGACAAATGGTGGTACATTTACCACCATTTGGTACCACCATGGTACCACCATAGTAAGTATTTGCTATAGATAAAAAATATGTATACATTCAATGTGACTTTAATGTGATCCTACAGAGTCAATAAGTCTTGCCTTCACTAGCCGGATCAGAATTTTGCTTTCACTGGTCGGATTAGAATCTCGCCTTCACTGGTCCGATCAATCTTGAGTCTTGCCTTCACTTTTTCTTTTTTTGGTCACGCAGGGGAAATTCTCATGGATACCCCCGCTCCTTGGGGAGGGCGGAGGTTATGTCGGACTTTTATTGACTAAAACCCCTGCGGGGTACCTACCGCTCGGACCGTGGTGGGGGGAGTCAAGGGAACTACGCCTGCATTCCCTCCCCGGGGTCTTGCCTTCACTGGCCGGTACACCTTTCAAACACTTTCTTAACTCAAAGTACTGGTTAAAAAAAGGCTTCATTGTAGTGTTTTGGAAAGCTCTCGAAGTAGGCTATAAGAATATCCAATGAAAGATAGGGAATTCTGTTAAAAAATAAAGTGTAACTCCATATGACCTTGGCACATCCACTTAAGGTCAAGCTAATGACGCCATCTTATGTCCCCTTTCGGACCAAACAACTTTTGTTTAAAATGTTTTCCTGTATGTTCCATATTTTTCGACATATTTGCCTGGGACGATTAAAACTAAACACCCTGTATATAGGGTGCGACAAAAGTACGGGATTAGTGAAATATCTCGAAAACAAGACATTTTAGAACAAAATGTTTCATACAAAAGTTGTAGGGTTTTAAAAAGTGCATCATACGCCGACATTTATATGACGTTGAGCATAAGCTTGGAGGGGCTCTCAAGTTTAGGTTGAATTTTTTAAATAGAATGCCCAATTTTTTATCATATATTCTTGTAGCTTATCTCAAGAGCTTTTCAAAACATTATAAGAAAATTATTTTTCGTTAAATATTTTTCGAGACATAAGTTGATAGAGGAGTTCAAGTACCGCCAGCATTAGTATGGCATTATCCAAAGTGTGTCGCATGGAGGTAGCTTGGTATGTATCTATGTGCGCATGCGTGCGTGCTTGTGCTCAAGCAACACGCTGTTGGTGAGAATACGCTTTACGATTATGGGCTTCATTTCTTTTAAGCTTTCGTAGAATTTTTTTAAGAATAAAATAATGGCTACGTTGTCTGAAAAAGAATGCATTTATTTGTTGATAATTGACAATTTGAACATCTAATATAATTATTACCAAAAACATGCACCCGCGCGCGCACACACGGATACACACACATATACACGCACACACGTACGCGCACATGGATACGTACCAAGCTACTTCCATGCGATACACCTTGGATAATGTCATACTAATGCCAGCGGTACTTGAACTCCATCAACTCATGTCTCAAGAAATACAGGGTGCGGCGCCAAAATCCGGACAAAATTAAATTTGAATTTCCCGCCGTTCTATACCACTTCGAGAGGTCACGATTGGCGTCCAAATAGCTTGACGCATGTACTAAACATTCATAATCTCGAAACAGTCACAATGTTGAAACCAAGTGCGGAGTATAATCGAAGAGCCGCGATTATCGAAAGTGTTCGCGCTGGGCGTTCAGCGACAGAAATCATTCGATTCTTCGGGTACCCAAGATCGACTGTGTATGATGTCACGAAGTATAACAAGTCGGAGAAGTCCAACGAAGGTTTTGCAACACCGGCAAGGAAAACTCATTCGAAGGAGCGCGTTGTCAGGACGCCCGAAATCATTCAACGAACTCAGGAGCTGATTTTTGAGGATCCAGGGTAGTCGATTCGAAAATTGTCGTCGGTTGTCAGTGTGAGTGAAAAAACTAAGCATCGAATCGTCGAGGAGGACCTTCGCTACAAGTCTTATACAATTAAAGTGAGACAGATGTTTTCCGAAGCTGCCAGGACAAAGCGAATTGAGCGCTGTAACCTGCTTTTGTGTCCTTTATGAAACAATGCTGCCGGATGCCTCAGGTTTTTTTCTGACGAAAAAATTTTTACTGCCGATGCGAAAATTAATCGAAGGAATGATCGCTGGCTCGCCCATGATCCTGAAGATGTCCCCATTGTTTCCAGAACGAAATTTCCGGCGAATGTTCACGTGCTAGGTGTTATGTCCAGTGAGAGTGATGTCATGCCACCGCATTTCTTTAACAAAGGGGAAAATGTCACAAAAGAAGTTTATTTGTATGTTCTGATAAATGTGATGAAGCCGTGAATGGAAACTGTATCGTCTGGAAAGCCGCATGTTTTCCAGTAGGACGGTGCGCCCGTGCACACAAGTCATTTGGTGCAAAATTGGTTATCGGACAACGTCGACATGTTTTGGTCCAAAGAATTTTGGCCTCCCAACAGCCTAGATTTAAATCCTTTGGACTTCTATGTATGGAGCGTTGTTGAAAGGGTCACTAACAAGTCCAAACATCCAAACGTCGCATCATTGAGAGCCGCTATTGAAGCGGCATTGGCCGATATGGACCGTGACTCATTAAAACGGGCCTGCAAACGCTTCAGACCGAGAATGGAGGCGGTCATTCAAGCAGAAGGGGATTATATTGAGTAAATGTGTTCTTTATGACCTAACAAACAATTTAGTAAAAAAATAATTATAAACTTCTCCATTTTTGCAATAAAATTATGTTTCAAAAAAATGTTTAATTTGTCCGGATTTTGACGCCGCACCCTGTACTTAACGAAAAATAATTTTCTTATAATGTTTTGAGAAGCTCTTCAGATAAGCTACAAGAATATACGATGAAAAATTGGGAAAATTCTATTTAAAAAATTCAACCTAAACTTGAGAGTCTCTCCAAGCTTATGTTCAACGTCACATAAATAGCAGCGTTTGATGCATTTTTTTAAATCCTATAACTTTTGTATGAAACATTTTGTTCTAAAATGTCTTGTTTTCGAGATATTTCACCGGTCCGGTACTTTTGCCGCACCCTGTATGTGTATGTGTGTGTTCTCTCATTATGCTGCATGTTGTATGTATTTTGGTACAAGAAAGTCTCAACGTTAAGTCACTGTAGCTCGAAAACTATTTATTACTGGACTTCCGGCCTATTGACATTTGATCTACACATCAAGAGCTATCATATAGTAAATCTACAAAAGATTTAGCCAAAAGTAATTTTCTATAAGGAGTCTCCAAGGTTCTTTATCTGCGATCACGTTTTTATTTTATATAATACGTTGCATATCATATCATTAGAATTAATTAGTTTTCATCTTGTAATATGAAAAATATCCACAAACTATTATGAAGCATAGCACAAGTAAAGAGAAATAACCTAATGATATCGTACAATGCGGTGCCTATAATACGATATTATCATGTCGTTTTTAATCGTCGTAATTAAAAATTTAATCCTGACCACTTTCTAGTGTTATACATGGATAAATTTAGTATTCAATATTTTTCAATTTTTGTCCTTACAAAAATTTAAAAATTTAAAAATTTTAAAAAATGATAATGAAGGGAGGAGGAGCTATTAAAAATTTTGCATTAATTAAATTTGAGCAGACTGTTTCAAAAAGTACAAATTACTGTACAACTTTATTATGAAATATGTTTTCATATATTTCATAGTTTGGGAAATATTTGCAAAAAATGGAAAAGATTGTTTCTTTCGAAAAATTTCCACTCCTAAACGTTGAAAAAATATAGGTTTAGTATTTTTTAATCTTCTATAACATATGTAAAGCCCATAAAAATCGATAAAGGACAATTTTTACGGTTTTCGATGGTTTCCTTATTAGAAAAAAGTAACAGAAATTAATAATATCAAAAGTAATGGAAACAGTAACAACTCCTTACTTTTTGAATAACTTTTTGAATAACTTTTTGAATAACGAGTTAATTTTCAAAGTAAATGATAGTGAGTGAAGGAGTGCGGTATAGTAGCTAAGAATTACTGTAAAAAAATTATTTTCTCCCAATCTCCTCTGGTATGTGTATGTACATAAAATATCTGAATGTTTTTAATTACTCACTTAGCAGGAGATACAGCAGCTTCTAATTGGCTCGATTTTTCTCTTACAACAGCTCCGACAACGTTTTTCTCAATTTCCTCGTGTTTAGGTATAACTTCGCGTATTACATCTATTGACGGTAATACAGATTCAATGTACTTGTCTTCAGCAACTTCGCAATTCGCCGGACTTATTGCTTCCTCAATGTGTTCTGGCAATTGCGATGAAGAAATTATATGTTCGTTACTCGGAAAAATATCACTAGAATCAAGACTCTTAGACTTGCCACAATTGCGGAGTCTGGGCGGTTTCAAATTCTGTTGATTTACATCAGAGTGCTGGGGTTTACTTTTTTTTCTTCGTTTCGTTTTCCGCGACACCAAAACTAGCCTCTTGTCCGGCGCGTCTCGCCGGAGCATTCTTAGAGCTACGTCACATGGAACCAATTGAGCGTCTACCAAGTCTAAGTATCCGACGCTGCAGCTTCTAACTATTGAATCGCTTGAGCACATCGGACTGATACTGATTACTGTAGAAGTCCTATGTACGCTACGTAATTGCTCCAAAGTTTCCGTATCGCCACGAGTTTCATCGTCGATGAAATGCATCTCATCCAGTTTACCAGTAGAAGGCGTCCCGACGTTCGCATAATCGGAATTTGTCTTTCCATAGCACACATGGCATTTGAGATCCTTACCTCCATATTTCGAAAAACACTGCGAACATGAGGACCCGAAACACTGATCGATATTTTCTGGAAACTGATAGGAACACGCCGGTGAAACCATACCGGCAATAGCGTGCATGCCGCTTTTATTCAGCAAAATCGTTCCTTGTCCTAGTTGTGTGTGAGAAGAACTATTCGAAGGCGTTATATCAGCGCTCGTCATATTCGTTCCGATATTTTGATTATTTTTAGTATATACAAAACTATTAGTGTTATGTGATGTCGCGGCTTGAATGGTGCTAATATGCGGTGCAGTGATCGAGTTGACATTATTTTCACACGCGGTATTACTTAAACCATTCAGATACACAGTTTGTGTTGAGGTGCACTCAACGGTGTTTTCTAAAGTCTTCAAGATTGAGGCCTGAGAAATATTTCGGCTGCTCGATGCTTCCGCGTTCAAAGTTTGACCGTTGTGCATTGACATAGAAATAATGTTCGCTGAACAACACGTCAGGTTCGGTTTGTCGTCTTGCGAAAATTGATGGAACTTGTTATTCTCCAACTCTTTTTTCACAGTTACACCCACCTGCTGATCTGCGAGAACGTTTTTCATTCTTTGGATACTGTTGACGAAGTCGGCATTAGCATTTGAAGTTGCTATTAGTGTCTGTGTAGGCGCCACCGCGTTCTTCGGCGATTGCAAAGCTGGCACATCGCAACACCGCGGCGGATTATGCCTCGGCGGTGTACGATAAGTGTTTGTAGGAGCATTTCTAATATTTTCATATAGATTACTCATGTCCTGCATATCTACATATGAATACTCGTTTTCGTAGCTTTCGACTCTTGCTAACGACGAGGATAAGGTCTCTGATGTTAGGAACTGATTAGAAATTTGAGACTTGGGTCGATTTGAGTTGAGTCGGGTGTTGCGAGAAGTCATCGGTGCGATTGGTGGTGGCTGCGTTTCCATAGTAGTCCGTGAACTAGCTTGAAAATCTTGATACGATTCCTCTTCATCCTCGGAGAACAAATTGGGGTTAAATGTGGGATCCGGTCCTAGGAGAAAATTGAGTCATCATTAATATTTATCTTATAAATGACTCAATTCCGTCATAAACGACGAAGCAAACACTTCATTGTTCGTAGTATATGATAAAACAAATATTATTCAATCTAAAATGTTGTAAGAATAATTAAAAATGCTTGCTTTAAAATAACTAGTTTAAGGGGATCTTATAGTCCAAAACTTTCAGAAAATCGAAAAAAACTTTTTTACATATTTTTATAGCACAACATCTTAAGAATATGTAAGTATACTTTCGAAATTCGAAAAACAAAGTTATAAGCGATTTAACGTCCGACCATTTGACGCTGTCAGGTACGGGTCGGAGCAAATAGGAATTTTTTGCTGTCGAAGAAATAGCAAACAAAGAAACAAAATCTTCTACATGTATAGTAGTCTTCTACATGTATAGTAGTCTTTATATGTATGTATATTCTCAGCAAGATTGTAATCTCTAATGGTCATTCGAACTCAGTTCTTTCTCGAATCTTATGCATAATTAGCTGCAGGAGTGTTTAACGAGGGTCATGTTACCATTCTACAAGTTATGGAAACGATGGTAATAATTATTGATTAGTAATGTAAGTTATTTCCTGATTACGCCTATAAACGGCGACTCACATATGCGGAAATCAAGAATGCTGATACTACAACGAAAGTTCGTATGGCTAACCAAAGCAATGTGGAGAAATTACATTAATTTAGAGAAATTAGATTTTTACGAAGAATCGGAAGGGTTATTCTATGGTCCAGGAATAGTAGATTAGCCAGAACAACCCCCTTCGATTCTCCTATTTTGCCCGTATATTTCCATGTCTACATAAATTTACACATTATTTTATTAAATATGATGTGTAAGTTTATCGAAACAGAAAGTCAGCTAATTTATATTAAAGAAATATTGGTCACAGAGGAGATGAAAATGCAACTAAAAGCTTTAGGAAAACCTATGAATTTAGATATATTTGATATAATTAATGACATTTTATCTTAAATAATAATACAAAAAAGAATCAACATATTAAAAAAATATCAAAACATTGTGAAACTTAAAAATACTTGTATTGGGTTGGCAAATAAGTTCGTTCGATTTTTGTTTCAATGTAAGTTTCATGCGGATTCACTTTTCTTTTCTCAGCGCTATCGTGCAAATCAAATACACATTTGGAAGTTTCACTGCTTATGTTATGCTGCGTTTGGTTTGGCTAACATCAGTATTGTGTGTGCTGCGTAGCTGTGAACTACGGAAATAAATAACGTGCATTATCGTCACATTTTGCTCTATTATTTTAAAAAAGGCAAACGAGTTGCGAATGCTCATAAAAAGATATGCCGTGTGAGATGATGCCTTAACAGAACGCGTATGCCAAAAGTGGTATGCCAATTTCCATTTTGGAGATTTCGACGTCAATGATGCGCCTCGTTCCGGTCGCCCGACCGAGATTAATTCAAGTGACATTAAGGCTATAATCGAAGTAAATCCATTCCAATCGGTACGAGAGATTGCTACGACATTGAATATATCCCAAGCGTAGAAAAGCATTTGCGCCAGCTAGGATACGTTTCTCGGCTTAATGTTTGGGTGCCGCATCAATTAACTGAGGCTAATTTGACCACACGCATATCCACCTGCGATGCGCTACGGAAGCGCCAAGAAAACGATCCATTTTTTAAACGAATGGTGACGGGTGACGAAAAATGGGTCGTCTACGATAATATAACGCGTAAAAGATCATGGGGGCACAGCAGCGAGCCACCGTGAACAATCTCGAAGGCGGGATTGCATCCGAAGAAAATAATACTCTCCGTATGGTGGAATTTCAAGGCTGTCATCTATTACGAACTGTTACCGTCAGGCAAAACGATTGATTCAACTGTATACTGTTCGCAATTGACGAAATTGAACCAAGCAATCTGCACAAAACGTCCAGAATTGGCAAATCGCAAGGGTGTCGTCTTCCACCACGACAACGCCAGACCTCATATGTCATTGACCACTCGAAACAAATTGCTTCAGCTTGGCTGGGATGTTTTGTCTCATCTTCCGTATTCACCGGATCTTGCCCCTTCCGATTATCATTTATTCCGGTCACTGCAGAACTCTATGAACGGGAAAATCTTCAAGGATGAAGAGGCCGTTAAAAACCACCTGGATTGGTTTTTCGCCGATAAGCCCCAGACGTTTTACGAACGCCGGTTTAATGAAGCTGGTGGAAAGATGGCTAGAGGTCATCGATAAAGATGGCCAATATGTAATTGATTAAAATTTATCTTGTGTATCAAAAAATTGTGTTTTATTCTACTCTAAAAAACCGAACAAACTTATTTGCCAACCCAATATCATCATAAGCTATCATTTAGATTACAATTCGATTCAATCCGTGAGGTCCACCAAACAGGCGAAAAAACAGGTGCTTTTGCAGTTGCTCTTTATTTTTAAGTTTTTAGTTGTTGACAAGAAATGTCCAAGCTTTAATTTAAGCTTTGTTTTATCCCAATATGATAATTTTCGGCTGAGTTGATTAGTTTTTCGCCGATAAGCCCCAGACGTTTTATAAACGCGGCATAATGAAGTTAGTGGAAAGATGGCTAGAGGTCATCGATAAAGATGGCCAATATATAATTGATTAAAATTTATCTTGTGTATTGTTACGTCCTGTGAACTCCGGGCAATTAACAATTCTTTTTTTCTCTCAAACTTCTATTCTTCTAATATAACAAAGGTCGTAGGAAACAGACATATCTGGCGGACAGCCGTCGCGTCAAATCGAAGGCGATATTCCATAATTAAAAACAGTACCCTATTGTGAAAATCTACACGTCTTTGTTCAGAGTTTATATCTGGGTAGTATTCACCAAGTGTATCCGTCGGCCTAGCTATAAAATTTGAAACTCTGCGCTAACAGATCTCCAGTAAAACAAAGCAACTCGAAACACTCTTGCTTTAAAACCTTGAAACCTACATCTCCCTAATCTAAAACCATATGCAGTCTAACAACAAAGCTTAGTCGTAAAATCTTATCTCAGCCTTTGATTTACGGCATCTTGACTTTTCCAGCTGGCCTTTTGTATACATTTCTTTATCCCACCAGAACCACCACCACCGCACTTTTACATCTAACTCATTCGGCCAATCATAACCTATCCACCTAAAATTATGAAACATCCACGCTCCACCCCTTATCCCATCTATATTTATGTCTTCTAGAACTAACTGTCTCCTCTCACGAGGTCTTTTAACCTCACCCTTAATTTCTAATGGCTAAGACTTTTCCCCACTAAGGACCAATACTAAAAATTTACTAATTAAATCTTTGACATCATTGGGCTCTCCTTAGGGCTTCACCCCTTTCCCAAAGGCCATCTCTCTATCCACCCTGGTGGATCCTACCTCCGATCATCAGTATAAAAACCGCGACAATTCGCCTCCGCGAGCATTCAGATAGTCAGATATTCAGATATCCAAATATTCAGTCATTCAGATATCCAAATATTTAGTCATTCAGATATTCAGTCATTCAATCATTCAGACATTCAGATTATTCAGACATTCAGACTGTGACAAGTTAATATCCAATCACTCGGACAGGTCACCATTGAATACCTTTTGTTACTCCCTGCAACTTTTGTTGAAGAAGTGTTTTACGATAACTAATATTTCAAGAGTTACCTGGCCGTATCGGAACTTTTTGAACACTCTGTATATATACGTATATAGAGGCATTACAATTTTAAATATTTCTCAATGTTCAAATACGTCTCTTTCTCCATAATAAATATGGTATCTTCTAAAATCGTGCTGTATAATATTCAATAAATTATCTTTTAATTCTTTATAAATATTTATCGGCATGTCTTGCCGTAAAATACTAATGTTTGACAAATGCGTCTCATATTTTAGAGTATTTATACCGTCACGTATGCACAGTGTTATCGCATGTATGTTTCAAAACAAGTTTTCTTAATAAGAAAATAATATTATATAATTAAAATAAAAGGTCAAAAATATTAAATATCACCATCATAACGAAATTGTTTTGCACAGTAACTGATGTCGATCGTATCATAATTTCACAAATCAATAAATCGAAATTGTTTTCGATTAAATCGTGCTTACAGAGATGACTTCATCGCATTATCACATCTTCTTTCACTAATACCTCAGAGTTTTATAGAATTGTTAATAAAATGCATCCATTCAATAGTGTCAATTGTAGATACATTCAAAAATAAAAATTTATCTATCATTTTGCAAACAATCAGACAAAATTTTGAGATATTGGTAAAAGAAATTAGGCATATTAATGCTGTGAAATCAGCTTTGTAAGCAAGATTTAATAAAAAATGTCCGACTTTCTGGCTTATAAACTTATCATTCGATATCAATCTCCTTATAATAAACATTTTTCATATTTTCATAACTATATTTGATAACCTCCCCTTTAATTTTTCAACTTATGAATTAGACAATATTATTTTGTTATTAATACTGTATTATCAATTTTATAGACTTACCACGTGAGCGCATGATATTAGTTAATTTTTAATAAAAATTTTTATATCTTTATGATATTTGTATGATATCTTTTACGTTTCAACTTAATAAAATAATATTATTTTCTTATTGATGCTATATTATTACGAAATATTTGTGCAATAATGTGATGTAAATATGTAACGGTGTAAATAGTCCGCAGTGAGACACTTCTTGTTATACTTCTTGTTATGTCAGGTATGTAAATATGAAATCGGAATTTTTGTATAGAAAATACACGTTTATTGTATGAAAATGATAAAAAATATTTTATTTGAAGTATTGCCCATCGCTAGCTATACATTTTTCCCACCTGTCTGACAATTTGTGGATGCCACGTCAAAAAAACTGTTGCTCTTTTGAGGCAAACTAGTCATCAAGCCATTTTCGTACATTTTCGTAAGAAGTGAAGCGCTGCTCAGCAAGTGCGTGTCCCATCGATGCAAATAAATAGTAATC